ACATATTGGTCTAAAAGAACCTTATACTATTAGCTAAAATTAAAACTCTACATTTTTTGCATTTGTTTGGATTTGTTGCTGCTTTCTCAACCAAACATCAACCATGTTCTTTGGTGAATGTATGTGTGTGGAACATAGATAGACCATTACATGCTGATGGCACCACGGCTGATGAATGTATTTGTCCACCTGATCAGCACCTCTAGTCAGTCCAAAGGTTTAGCGAACTCCCAGCAGACTGATACATTCAGCAGCCTCAGCACCACAGGCATTTACCATCTACCTACACTTAGCACACACATTGCAAATGAACACGGATGTTGCTTGGCTGAGAAAACATCTGTAAACTAAACACACTGTCATGCAAACGTGTACGTTTAATTTTAGCTAAAGCTTTCTTTCACACTGGCATGCCGCTTTTGAGAAAAGGTTGTTTAATACGGAGTGAGCGAGGGGACATGGGATATTTTTTTTCTTTTGCGTTCCCACGCAATACTTTTGCTTTCCCTCGCAAAAGTCATTTATCACTGTTGTACCTGCCGGTTTATTAACACATTCACATGTTCACCATTAACGAGTTAGCCTACTGCTTTAATTCAGCTTCAGAATGAATAAGATCACACAGCCACGCATTGAAGTATGTCGTATGCCGATATTTGAACACAGTGCAGCCACGCAACATCATGTCAATTTCACGAACTGTGGCGACACATCCTGTTTTGGTAACCAGATATTTCTAAATAAAGTCTGATTCAATTCAGTTCATATACATAACAATTTTTTGTGTGGGAAGGCAAAACAATATTGCGAGGTAACGCAAAAGTATTGCGAGGGAATGCAAATGTATTGCGTGGGAACGCAAAAGGAAAAAAAATCCCCCCATGTCCCCTCATGGGTACGGAGCCCGTATTGTTCCCTCACAATACCTTTGCATTCCCTCGCAATATCTTTTCGTTCCCTCACAATATTGTTTTGCTTTCCCACGCAAAAGTTTGTTTTGAATATGAACTGAACTAAATCAGACTTTTATTTTGAAATATCCGGTTACCAAAACAGGATGTCGCCACAAGTTCGTGAACTTGACATTGATGTTGCGTGGCTGCACTGTGTTAAAATATCGGCATATGACATACTTCCAGTGGCATCACTAGGCCTATTTCAGGGGGGCTGGAGCCCACCTAAGTTATTTTCATGTAAAAAAAAATTTTTTTTTACAAAAATTCAATATGATGTGGTCAGAATAAATAACCATTTAATATTTCATTATTAACTAAAATATATGATGATCATAAATCTGTCAGTTTCCCTTTAATTATAGTGTAAGGTAGAGATCCTCTTTGGTGTGTTCCACTTGTTCATATAGAATACTCCCCCACCACATGAAATCCAGTCCATGTTTTTCCTGCAACCTTAATAGCAGCGTGCTAGCAAGTTTACACACAGAGTGTATATATG